ATAGATAGATAGATAGACAGACAGACAGACAGATAGATAGATAGATAGATAGATAGATAGATAGATAGATATGGTATTTGAGATGGCCCATTGGCCATCTCTACTAAATCTCCAATACTGTGAGATTTCAATAATGGAGTTTTGTTTCCTGAGGGGAATGTTTATTAAACTGAACATACAAAAAAATGAAAAAACAATGTAATATAGTCTGCAGTATGGAAACATTTTAGGGCTTATTTCATAAAGTTTGTAGGGGTTCCACAGAATACAGTTTTATAAACATAAAAGGTAATAATGTATCAGGCTGCCGTCTAAATGACCACGGGTAGCTTACAAGGTAAGGGCTGCATCATGAAATACTATAGAAATAAAAACATCTAATATGCTCAATATTTGATGGGTCATTGCAACCATACAATTGAATTTTAAAAGGTCATCCAAAAAATATGTATCCTTATATCATTTTCAAGAAGGAATAAAATCTTGTTTACAGAGAAATGAATCATATTTTTTCTGTAATAAATGGCCAACTGTTCTTTTTTGATGACTTCCGACCAGTGCCAGATTTTAACAAAAGAACTCAGTGTCAGAAGCCAATGGCCCAAAGATTTTAAAGGTTCAGAATTAGTTTTCTAGATAAAAAAAAAAAAAAAAAAAATAACAACAAATTTGACCATTTTAAATTTCCTGTCACCGTGTGAAGAGAATGACCAGGGTGATAGTAGAATGTTGGTAGACAATGTGGGATAGCTGTATTTCAATGCAGAAATCTGCTGAACTTAGTGATACAGAGGATACTCAGCAACCAAGAAACTTCAAAAAACAATAACACCCGAACTGAGAAAGAACAAGCAGTGAACAGCAACTTAAAATCTAATGGGAAGTTGGTCATGGTAGTTAACAGAAACACAAAAAAGTGTGGTTTAAAAAAAAACCTATATTTAGTTTTCATATCAGAGGTTAAAGGTATAGTGGAGGATGTTCTCTTTCCGGGTGGATCATCAAAATAGGTGGTTCTCCTAATTAGTCCTGCTGTGCTTATGTTGTCATT